TTTTTCCCCCCCCCCCCCCCCCCCCCCCCGTCTCTCGCCACCTCTACCCAACCAAGGCTTGGGGATATCGTGATGGAGGAGGCGATTGTTCGACTCGTTGCCCGCCGAGCTCTCTCCGCCCTGGACTGTGAAGAAGAGCGGCGGCGGCAGCAGCAGCAACAGCAGCAGCAGGGGCGAGAACAGAAGGGGCAGGAAGGGCGCGGAGAGAATCAGGGCACGCAGAGGGCTGGGAGGGGAGCGGAGGCCAACCGGGGTGGCGAGGCAGACTCTGTGCTCTCGTCGGAGCCGGGGGGCAAGGGTGCAGCGGACGAAGGCTTCGCCGTGCCTGCGTCGCTTCGGCCTCTCTCCTGGCGCCTGGACTTTGCGACTCGCCTGGCCGTCAGCAACGCCAACCTTCGAGTGGTGAGCTAGCTTCCGGACGTGATTTGTAGGTGTGCAGCAGTAGCGACCTGGAGCACTCCTGTGACATACGATAGCCATGGTCCCGATCTTCCGCGGTATATCGGGACATCGCACCTTTGAGTGTTGGGGGAATATGTAGCTATTGGTTATAGGTAGCCAAATCCCGTGACAAGCGTTTTTTACCTCGGTGTATCAGGCCCCACACTACTCCGGACTCCGGACCGCGGTATGTTGGGATCACCACTTCACTGTGGTATGTGCTCACAACGCCATTCCGAATGTTCGTCTTCCCCGAAGTGGGAGCGTAGGCTGTTCAGACCGGGGGTGGAAGTTCTGTGCTGTTGTTATCTGTTCAAGAGCGGTGAGCAGGTATGTGAGCTTCTCGTGGCCCGACCCAAAGCGTTGGACTGAGGTGATGTACCAAAGCTACATGGGAATCGAGCATGCCTCTAAGAACAAGCTTATCCACGCTTCTTCTTCGTTTTACGGACGCAGAATCCAGGACACATCGTAGACACGACAGGGACCCGGCGGACCTTGTCAGGCACAGGCCTCCATGTCACCGCTGCCGAGGTATTGTACACGTTGTTGACACACGGTGATCTCCTCCTCCTCCTCCGCTGCTGCTGCTGCTGCTGCTGCTGCTGCTGCTGCTGCTGCTGCGTGTGCCCAACAGGTGTACGAGGCTCAGTTGGTCGGACTGATGGGGTCAATCGGCCTGCAGGAAGACCAGCACCTTGTCGGCTTGTCCCGGGCGGCGGGGGGGGGCGGGTGCGCCAGCGGTGTAGGAGAAGGGAAGAGGAAAAAACGCCTATGCCTCTCCTCTTCCTACTCCACCCCCGGCGGCGGTAGCGGAAGGAAGCGCCGCCGCACGAACTCCTTCTCCCGAGCAGACGTCGTCGCTTCTGTCCAAAGCCCCAAGAAGAAGAAGAAGGCCAATGAACCTCCCGGAAAGAGAGACGGGCATGCGGGCTGCCACTCCTCCGACCCCCTTTTCCGCCCGGGCGCGGACGACCCCGCGCTCGCTGCCTCGTGCTCGTCGCCATTGTCCGGCGGCGCGAGGAAGGTCAACCGGAGGGACAAGCGAATGCCGGTGGGTCGAGAGAGATTGTATTTTACCAATGATGCTTTTGGGGGTGGGGGGGTGGCGGAGGGACGACCAGCCGGCCTGAAACGGAGCGTGAAGCCCAAGAGAGGAGACGTAGGATACGTAGCAACAAGAGCATCGGACCGTTTTGCGGAAGTGTGTGCATAGATACAGGCATTTGTTATTCGCACACGTGTAGGCGCGTGCTCGGTCCTGATGTATTTTTTGGGTCGGTCGTGCACGCCGTGCTGCTGTCTATCGGCACGGTACAGGACATGGTCGAAGCCGCGATCGGAGAGGCGTTCGAGGCTTCTCTCGGAAGGACCTTTGGCGGCGGCGGCGGCGAGTCGTGGTCTTCGCCTCCTCCGGGGCCTCAGCGGTTCGCGGGAGCCCACAGGTCGGTCAGAGTCTTCGAGGGTAGGGTCGAGATGCCCAACCGCATCAGCAGCAGCAGCAGAAGCAGCAGCGATTGCATCCTTGTGTCGGTGTAGTACTGTACGTAGCAGCACCAGCAGCAGCACGAGGAGCAACTTTGCAGCAGTTTTACGGTCGTGTTGTTGTGCTACAGTATCGCGACACGTTCTGGTGTGGCCGGCCACGGTATTTTGTTGCCGTCATCGTTTCCACGGCGCACCCAGCGAAGGGTTGTTCGCCTGCCCTCCGACAACCCCTGAAGAGTGTCACCCGTTTCGCTCCTTTTTTGCCTCTTGGCGCCCTTGCTTGTTGTTTGTCTTCGACGATAACGGCGGCGGCAACGCGTGCGCTTCAGAGCCCGGTTGGTGGACGGCCTCCTGTGTTCCGCGCTCAGCACGGACTTGTTTCTTTCCGGACTCGATGGGTCCAGGGTCGGCGCTGACCTGGAGCGTTTCGGCGAAGAGGTAGAAGGCCCTTACGCTCATGACGACGACTTTGTCAGCAGCTCCGGTTTTGTGAACAGCTTCGGCGCCCTTGACAGCAGCAGCGGCAGCAGCAGCGAGGACGAAGAGAGGGCGCGGGGAATGGATGAGGGAAGGGGGGATGTAGGGGGGAGGTTGGGTGAACAGGGGTCATCGCTTTCGGAGGACCTCGCTGCTGCGAAGTCTTCCGCCGCCGCTGCTGCTATGACCGCGGCCGCCGCCGCCGCCGCACCTATCGCCGACTCCACCGTACCGGAAGGAACCAGTACCGATGAGCGCACCGCTGCGGGGAGGCAGGGCGTTCTCCGGCTGTACGGAGCGGCGCTGATAAAGCTACGGGTGTCCGTTTTCCTCTTTTGCTCGACATCGGCGGCGGCGGCGGCGGCTGGACCGACTGGAGCAGGAGATGGGGACGGGGACAAGGGTAAAGATGGTAACGATAAGGAGGGTCCCTCCGAGCTTACGCTTCGGCGGCAGGGAGTCATGTCTCGGGAGAACTTGGACGCGGTCGCGGCGCATCTGTTGTCTCTCCGAGCAGGAACTGGCGGCGGAGACGGCGATGGGCAGAGAGAGGTCGAATCGCCTGTAGCAGCAGCAGCAGCAGCATCTGCTGCAGCAGCATCAGCAGCATCAGCATCTGCAGCAGCAACATGTACAGCAACAGCAACAGCAGGAGCAGGAGCAGCGGTAGATTCTGGAAGAAGGGCCAGGGACTGGATGAGAATCGAGGTCGGTCGAGCGGCGCTTTACGCCGACGGAAGCAACGCCGCCGCCTGCGGTGCGGGGAGGAATGTTCCCTTCAGCACCCGGGTAGCCGCGCTCCTCCTCTCCAGGTCCGGCGAACGAGGCGGCCCACCCGTCGCCGCCGCCGCCGCCGCCGGCACGCCGCCGTGTGGCGAGGAGAGCACGGCGCAGAAGGGGGCAGGCGGAGGGGGGAGGCGGTGGTCGGGCGGCGAGGAGGGGCCTGGGGTGACTAGGACAACGCCGAGTGTGGCGGAGATCGAGTTCGGGCGCGACCCTTGGCCCGAGGAGGACCTTCCGAGGGCGAGCGAGCAGGTTGCACGGATTTTTCTCGCCCGGGGCGCCGGAGACAGGGCCGGCGCCGCCAGCAGCAATAGCGGTGGCAATAGCGGCGGCGGCGGCGGCAGTGACGGAGTCGTCACCGGTGGAGGCATCGTCGTATCCAGCGATGGCAGAACGATTCGTCCCCGTTCGTCTCCCTCTCCTCGCCCGCTCGGAAAGAAACTCAAGCGCCCGGGTGGCAGCGGCAGCGATGGCCATCCCCCGCCGCGCTACGCCCGACTGCTGGGCCAGCTCCCGAGGGACAGCCGCCACCTCCTTGCTCGGCTAGGACACCACGGGTACGTGAAAGTCCTCGAACATATCCTGCAGGGATTCCTGCGTTCCTCCAACGGTTCTGCCTCTCTTGAGGCTCCCGCCGCCGCCGCTCCCGCCGCTGCGGGTGACCCCGCTTCCTCTTCGGCTCTCGAGACCAACATTGGCACCACCGATACTGCCGGTGCCGACGGCTGCGAGACCGCCGCTCGCCCTGCGCCTGACAACGCCACTGCCGCCGACGAGAGCGCGCCACCAGACGCAGATTCAATCCTTACCGAGAATCCGGGGTCCTCCGCTCGCGGGGACGACCTACACGAATCTTCGTGGCCGCCGCCGCCGCAGCTTCCAGACCTAGTCCCAGATCATGGCCCAGGCCGGAGTGATCCCTGGCGGGCGCTGCAAGCGGGGGCCCCGCACCCGTGCCTCTCTGGCCTAGTCGACCCTCCCGGACTGGCAACCGCGGGGGGCACGCGGTTGGTGCTGCCGATGCCGAACCCCTTCTACCGGCGAGTCCTGCACGCCCTCTGCCGCGTCCACGGGCTCCGTTCTCGCGGCGGAGAGACGTTGGCGGCGAAGCGAATACTGCCACCGCCGCCGCCGCTGCCGCCGCCGCCTGGGCCGAAGGGAGAGGGGGGGGGTGGGGGGGCGTCAGTGGCAGCAGGCCGGGCACTCGCCACGACGGAAGGAGAAGCGGGGGAAGGCGTCGGGAGCTTGGGGGGCATCGCGGTTCGACATCGCACGGTGGAGGTCACAAGGGGAGACGGCGGTGGCGGGGGGCAGGGGAAGAAGCGGCCCGGGGGCGGGCGAGGGCTTGGAGACGTGTTGATTCCGGTTGAGGTGTTGCTGGGGGAAGAAGCATGTGCCTGACGCCATCGAAGGCCGATTTCCCGAACTTGTAGCGCATTGACTTGGCCCTACCCAACCAACCGATGAGAAAGTTATCAGACATTTTTTGACGGAAAAACGCAGCCGCTCGTCTGTATGCATGTTTGCGCGCTTCCGGGTGTAGCCTAGTGTGTTAGCATGACGCTCCTGTCTTTTTTGCCCGGTGCTTATCCTTGGCGACTAGTGTTACCGGGTAAGCGGATGAGAGAAAGGCACGCGTACGTTTCTTACTTTCGCGACCTCTAGGAGTGGGGTTGACCTGCTGCGCTTCGTGGTTGTCGGTATTTTTCTATTTTTTTGTCGCAGCGAAACAGTCCAATCTGTGTGTCGGTGTTAAGAAAGAGAGGGCTGATATTGCCCGTCCTGGCGAAATCGGCTTCGACATGTCTCCTCCGTCCGGCAATGTGCGGACCTCCTCATAGGCCTCTTGACACAAGCCACCACCGCTGTCGAGATGGTCTGCAGAAAAGTCTCACAAGCTTCTCTTTTCTTGTTGTTGTTCGCCCTCTAACTAGATGCGTACCGCACGAACGCCACTCGTTGCCGACGTTCGACGAAAACGGGGCTATATCGACAAAAAAAAATTCTCAAGCCCAAGAAGCCGGTGCCGATACCGCGGTGGTGGCCGGGCGCTGCTTGTAGTGGTCACAAGAACATTTTTTTTCAGCTCCTCTTTTGGAGTGGATACAATTTGCTGTTGCCTTCCTTCATCCCATGCACCCCCTACCTCGCGTTCCCGGTAGAGCTGCCTCCACCAACGCACGCCTCCCTTCTTCTCTCTCTCTTGCCGCTCTGCCCCCGCCCCTGCTCTCTCTCTCTCGCTCGTGCAAATACCCTGCGCTCTTGCAATCAATACATCTTGTGTCTCTTCATGCGGTCATTAGCTGACTAGGGGACCGTACTGTAGGCTTGGGTTTTGGGGGAGGAGCCCCCACTACCCGCTACTGCTATCGGTGAGGTTGGGCCCCACCTTCTGACCCCTTCCAAAATGCCAACTGCTGCCGGTATGCCCGCCCCCCCGGACGGTTTGGCTGGTTGGTATGCTGCACCCATTGCTTGTTTTACTACACACCTCTAAACGGGCAGCGATCCGCTTGGCATGGTACGCGAACTCAATCGGAATGATTGTTGGGATCACACACTACGCCAGCTCTGCGCCCAGCGGTGGGAGTAACGCCTGGCGTGCCTTCGCTCGCCCCCCCCCCCCCCCCCCCCCGGGACCCGGGAAACCCAACAATAAAACAAAACCCCCGGTGGGGGGGAAAAAAAAAATATTTTTAAAACCAAAACCCCGGAAGAAAAAATTCCCCCAGCCCAATTTTAAAATGGAGCCCCAGGACAAAAAAAAAATGTTCGGGCACATTCCCCCCCGGGAACCCCTGCCTTTACCTAAAAACCAAAAAACCCCCCCCAAAGAAAAAAAAAAGGGCCAAAATAAAAATGGGAACCCCCGTCCGGCCCCCCCCAAAAAAGA